CAATAACAAGTGGGAACCTCCAAATTATTCAAATACGAACAAATAGTTTATTGACCATAACATAAGGTCTTAACTAATAACTTAAGCTAAGCAAGGGTGACTAAGCAGCCTATGGTCCTTGCTCGTCATGTCTCCTCCGTCTCATCACAATGGTCGCCCACGAGTCATTCACCTGAAACAATCATTGTAGAGGGGGGGTGAGTATATAAAATATACTCTATAAGTAGCCCTCACCATCCACACACACAAGTCATGCTCAACTAAATCATGAAACATTCATAGTCATGCCTTTCATCACATTATGCATTCAAACATAGACACATTTCATAAAATTTGGTGACAACCACAACCAGGAACACACTAACTACCAACCTCTAGTCTCCCTAACAACTCAAGTACCTCTACGCTTATCACAGCTATCCTAGCCTTCCACAATTAACTCCTTCAAGTAGAGTCGGCTCCTGACCATTTTTACCCAGAGCCCCGACACTGCTGCATTGGCCATCGACCATTTTTACCCGAGGCCCCAATGACTTCACCCTCTATTGGCCCTTGACCATTTTTACCCAAGGACCTAATAGCCTTCCTTCCAAAGGACTCCTCGTATCGACCCTTGACCGTTTTTACCCGAGGCCTCGATACTCAATTAGTGACGTATCAGCCCCCGACCATTTATACCCGAGGCCCTGACACTCACTCATTCATTTCCTCCAAGAATCCAACTCTCACCAGAGTCTTACTATATACTTTCTTAAGCCATTACCCCTGCATCTTTCAACTCACAAATACAATTCAGCATGCTTCCACAACATAAACAACATTCTAATAATGAAATAATAAACCAATCATGCTCTCACAATATAACTTTTCTTAGCAACGGCTCCACAATGAGTTTCGTCGCAACAAAGCATAACCAAACAAATTTGAAACCATTGGAGTCCGACACAGTTCACCCAAAACACTTAATATCCACCATCAATATTCAATAAGCATTACTACGTATAATAACGCACAAGACACGCCGAATAACTCATGCATGTTCAGGCAACAAACATTTCCACAGCAATATTCAGCAGTTTAGCAAAGCAGAAACCTCACCATTTTCACCGACACATATATCCAACACTACTCCAAGTATATCGATTAACACAACGAGAGTTATTTAGCACAATGACGTAACAAAATTAATATAAAACGCCACAAAACCAGCACATTAGAGACCATTTAACATACATTAACGCACGCACACGCCCCTTGTCTACTTACTCACAACCGCGCCCTTAAGTTTTACGTCGACCTCACACCTAAGCACTAAAACAGAAAAATACAGCAAGTTACGTACACTATTTAGCCATTGAAATCAATTCTAAAAGGGTTCAAATGACTCATTACCACCAAAACCGACTTCGTATAGGTGTGGGTCACCTAGATCTAGCTCGCCAAGGTGTGGGTAGCCTAAATCG